ACCAACCCTCGGCAACCGGCCTTTGGTTCACTCCTTCGTTACTACCTTCGGCTCCCAGATAATATATGAAGATCATTCGTCTCTTTCCTGGGCCCAATCCCTGGCTCATGCTCTATGCCTTGAAGTTAGTGAACTACTTGATTTTCATTATGGAGTGACTGCATCACAGCCTCTTTCAAAGATGGGAAAAAAGCCAAGCATTTGATCATTTCCCATCGCTCCAGTAAGTGACGAGGAATTGAAGCATATCTCTTGAAACTTTGTTTAAAGACTCAGCTACAGATGTTTGTCTTTTCCTTGTTTCTGTGTACATAAAAACAAGCATGGACAGGGCTTCTTCAGTAAATTACTGTGCTGTGAAGGGCAAACAGATGTAAACATCAGAAATTCCCTCCATTTATAACACAGCATGGTAGTCAGAGCTATCTGTAGAGCAAACGGCTCGCTCCTGGGGCAGGGGGCCCTACCCTTCGAAGCAGTTGTACAAACAAGATAGACAACTGAGGCAACAGTGTTTTAGAGATGATGCAAGCACGACATTTGGGCTGGAGTTGAGACGGCAGACAGAAACCAAATGGAAGTCTCTGGTTCTAATACATAAAGACCGTTATTCGAAGGATCTTGCCTGGCAGAGCAACCATAGAGTGAAACTGGTCTGCCCTAGTCCTCACGCTGACATGCCGGCCCACCTCGCACATGTCGAGCCCCCGGTAAGAAGAGGTGGTGGTTTCCTTCCCCCTGTTTATGGTCTCACTCCAGACCTATCTGCTTCAGCCCGCCCTGTACTCCACTCAACTGGCTCAGCACGTGAGTGTCTACTATGTGCTGGTCGCTGATCTAGGCGTTGGAGGTCTAGGAGAGTTGCTGCCCTCAGGTTTACTGGGGAAGTCACAAGTAAGCGGACGTGGAAACAACCACCTTTATGATAAGTGCCACGAGGGAAACAAACAAGGAACTGGGACAAAACTGGTGGGGTGGATAATGAGACCTGACTGGGTGGATGATCAAGAAAGCCATTCCCTGCTCCTAACCTCTTGATTCAATTCCTGTTTTTGTCTTTTATGGCTTTCAGCTTGATGGGGTTCCCCTAGCCAATGCTCCTAGCTTCCCAGCTACATGATGTAAACGTCTGCAATTAAGTGGTTGGCACATGGGCATGAGGCATTGCCTGGGACACTAGAGGTCCTAGTGTTCCCTGTAAATGGCCTGTCGGCTGTGGTCACCACACCCTGTGACTCAGACCCAGGTCTGGTCATCCAGCCCTGTGTGCTACTGACCAGTACGTGGAGTGGCCTGATCCAACCTGGGATTGAATCCTGGACTTTTGACTGTCATTAATTAAGCAACGGCTTTGACCTACCATCAGGAAGAACTGGCTTTTGAATTATTCTCTGAGTTGGTTGTAAATTTTAGCCCCTTGTCTTCTGGCGATGAAGGCAAAATGGAGAAATAAAGGCCTGTCTTACCCCTGATTTACAAATGTCTCACTCTGGCCTTAAAATACGTTTCAAGTCAACTTCCCTCTGTGATACTGAGCCAGCCTGGTGGGGAAATTAGCTGAAAGTAAAGACTACAGCCCTGCTAATCCATGGATCTTCTTCCTCAGCCACACATGCCAGCCTTCTTGACATCTCCACCTCAAATTCATCATGCTCCAAGACGGGTGAGCCTTTATCCCTAGTGTTTACCATCCCTCCCTTAATTGGCTCCTTTTTCCTGTGTGCGTTCTCTGAAAATCACTAGTGAATTTCCTAAGCCCAAGACCTTACAGTCACGTTGGATTTTCCATCTCCCTTATTCCCAGCTACGTTTTACCAGTTCTACCTTAACCCTCTTAGCCCTGTCAGTGTTTCCATCCAGGCTCTCATAATCTCATGCCTAAACTACTCAAGATGCTCCAAAACAATTTCCCGTCTATGTCACTGCTCTGGGGTTTCCCCACATAAGCAAAACGGAGAATTGGAAGAATGCTGAAGAATCTCCGGAGCAAGGCAGTCAAAGCCCCTAACGTTCCTCCTCGTCTTCCATTAAGTGGCTCCATGAGCCCTGCTTTCTGTGTACTGACGCTGTACTGTTCCTTTGCGCCTGCTCCTTCTTCCTCGGATGCCCTCAGCTACCTCTATCCCAACTTTGTCCTTTTACCTACTTGGGTCCTACTCTCACTTGGGTCTCCTTTTCAGTGTTATTTCTTTTGAGACGTTTCCTGTGTCCCTTTAATAGAACTAGAAACCTTCCCCGGACACCCTTCCGCTCCATTACAGCATTTATCACAGAGCACTCTAAGAACTGGTTTACATATTTTAAAAGGTAGGGAGCAATGCGTATTTATCCCTGCATCCATTTTACTTTAGTTGATGTCCAAGCTGTAACTGAAACTTAATAAAAACTGGATCAATAAATCTAACCAAGCAGTCTTACCTCAGCTTCCATTTATTGGCTTGAATCCTTGAAACCATCTATAAAAAGGTTTGTAGATAATGTTTACGATGCTGGGATTCTCCTGCTCCCATTTTCATTGCATTATCAATACAACAGTCTCTCTCAAGCCCTCTGTAATTCCATATTCTCAAATAACAGGTAACAAAAGAAATTCTGAGAACTTGTTCCAAGATTCTAAGATTCTCGGGTAGATCAGGGACATAAGAAGGACTAGACGCAAGGAAAATGAAAGGCTTGTGGAGAGAGCAATTACTGTCTGGGAAAATGTACCTCCATCCAGTAAGACAGCGGTGGTGATAAGGATGCTCGTTTCTTTACTTCCAGCCTAAAATCAAGGAGGCTTCTATGGAACCCTTGGAAGAGTTTATAAGCCTTCCCTGAGTTTGGGAGACACAAAGATGATGCAGGACTCACACCTGAGAAAGTTAAAACTGCCCGTGGCAACAGGAGAGAGGGGCTGCACCAAGATCAGCCTGCACCTCAGTCTTCGCTGGGACTAGATGTACAGGAGAGTTTCCGGGGCCAGGAGTGGTAGAGAAGCAGCTGCCTGGAGGTGTTGTGAAACCTGCCCCAGAACACTGCAGCTAGAGGTCTAGAGAACTCAAGAGCAAGAATCTGAAATACAGAGCTGAGGGAGAGGCTCAGCGGCAGCCAGCTGAAGAAAACGTGCCTGACCCCATCACAGGAATTGCAGTCTCAGGTGGTACCCAGCAGGCAGCCACAAAGCCCCACGGGCGAGCATAGGGAAAAAAGAGTTCACTCGAAACATCTACCACAACGGGAGGGTGGGGCCGCTTCCAGCAAGAATTTCGCCATCCTCTCTAAGGATGGCTCATCTTCTCCCTAAGCACCCTCAGATCAGGAGCTACCACCCTAGCTGGCCCAGAACTCAAGAAGGGGAAACATTCACTCTCTAGTTGGGAGTTTGGGTTAATCTTTTGTTTTGGATATTCTGCCTTCTGAATTAAACCTGTATTTTGCCCAAAACTGACAATAGGAAGAATATTAAGAGTGAACAGAAAAGCCATGGAGCTATTGGAGTTTGCATCTAGAGAAAAGGAGAAAATGCCACTGATTTCACTGTAAAGGAATAATGATGAGAGACAAAAACTAAAAGAAAATACAGTGGGGCTAAGGCACGACTGCATTCACTTTCTGAGGAATAGCTTTTGTCAGATTTCCAAAGGGATCTGTGACAAGAGAAAAGAGGAAAGAATCCGTGTTTTTACAGAGAGCAGGAAAATGAGCTCGAACAGGCTCTGCAGAGAGGACCTGAATAGATATCTCCTGCTCCCAGCCAAGGGCGCTGAGACCAAAACCTTACAGTTTTAAACATCAAGTGTAAACACACAATTCTGTATCTAAAAAGATTAGATTTTATTTACTTTCACATTTCTCTCCTAATGAGCAATCCCAGGGCTGCAGACTGGTTTGAAGCATAGAAGAGAAAAGAAAAAAAAAAAGGTCTGGCCTTCTCCTAAGCAAAGCGAGCAAGGATCATGTATCTCCATAATGAGATTCCAGTAGTTTCTAAGCCCTGGCCCTACTCGCTGCCAACCACATCTGTCTGCAGGTTTGATGGACTGCAGACTTCATTTGTCCTGCGTCCCTGATAACCCTTGACAGTCCAGAAACTCCGAGGCCCTGAGGCTCAGGGAGGCATAATGGCCTGCAGGGTTGGCCAACCCTAGGGGAGCTGTGTCCAGTGCTTCACTGGCCTTGCTCAGGGCTGTGGAGCATGGATGCATTTTAAGTAGATAGAAGTTTAAGGCCTCTGATACCCAACCCATTCTTGGTGGCATAAGGAGGGTTGGAAAGATTATGCTGCAGCAGGTAGGACAGAAACCTGGCTCTGGAGACAGCTCTTCTACTCCTTAATTGGGAAAGGGTTGAGAATACAAGGCAGAAATGATCACGACCATGTTTTTTTAACAGATGAGAACCTAACAGTACGGTGGCTTTTATCTTGTTCACTTGCTCTTTGAGGAAGACCATCACGGTGCCACCCTCATGGTAAGTGCCCAGTAAATACATGCTGAATGTCTGTCATCTTTCCTGGGGGTAAGTGAGCGTGACAGAAAAGGCGCTCAGCTAGACACACACTGAAATATAATCCTTAACTTCTAGAAACTCTAGCCTCTGGGGGAGGATAAACAAGTCAACGGATGGGTATAAAACGTGACATGAGTGTATGATGATGGGAAAGCATGGTGCAGTGCACCAGCCTGACAGGGTGGGCAGGGTGGCTTCATGAGAAGGTTCTGACTATGGCCCAAAGGAGCAGTGAACACGAGCTAGGGGGAAAGGGTCTTCTCAGGAGAGAGAAGAGCATGAGCTGGGCTGCATCTCAGGAAAGAGCCAGATATTCAGTGAGACTGGGGCGCAGAAGGTCAGGTAGGCGAGGCTGAAGAGGATGCTGGGGTCCAAACATCAGTAAGGGATATTCTGGATGATGTGGGGCTGTGGTTTGTGGTTCAGCTTTCTCTTCTACCTGCTGCTTTGCCTTCTCCTTCATCGCCGGGGCTGGAAGCCTGGGAACCACATCTCCCAAACTCCCTTACCTCCAGAGTTGTGCATCAATAAGATGCATTCATGGGAGCTCCAGAAGGCAGAAAGGAGGCAAAAGTCACATTCTTCAGCAGTGATAATGGATACTGGGTTTCAGCAGATGTGGATTTTTGTAGTAGACTTTGGATTCCCATACCAGGAGGTCACAATTCTTCCTGGAGGCTGTGGAGGAGTTGTGAAGCCAGCTGAGCTGTACCAGAGGCATGGAGACAGGCAAGGAAGCCACTACCACAGTCAAACTGAGGGAGAGGAGGCCCTGCATTAGTACAGTAGCTATTGGGATGGAGCAGAGAGGGCAGATAACAAGTTCAAATGAGATCTGGGGCATGGAAATATTTGCAGAAACTGAGACACACTATTCACGAAAGAATAAAATCAGTACTGTGTTAGTAAGAGTAGCATTTGATAAGACTATGTCCAAACAACTACAGAGCTAGCTTTGAATTATTTCTCTTGCATCGAAGTCAGGGAGAGATTCTGCGAAAGTCTTCAGGAGGAAGTGAAATAATTCCTTTGATTCTTGAGGGTGACTATGCCTTAGATAATTTCCTTCATCCTTCTTTCCACCATTAGCTAGCTTCTACTCCGTACCTGCCGTGTACTCGGCCATCTGCTATGTTCTTCAGCACGTATTATAAAAGCTTCACCATAACCTACAAAGTAGACATTGTCAGTTACTTGTCAACAATGTTCTGTAGTTTTTGGTTTGCAAGTCTTTCACCTCCTTGGTTAAGTTCATTCCTAAATATTTTATTCTTTTTGATGCTTTTGTAAATGGCATTGTTTTCCGAACTTCCTTATTTGAGTGTTCATTGTTAGTGTATAGAAATAAAACTGATTTTTATGTATTGATTTTTGTATTCTGCAACTTTGCTGAGTGCACTCATTAGCACTCAGTTTTTCATGGAATATTTAGTTTTCTGTAGATAAGATCATGTCACCTGAGAATCAATATAATTTTACTTCTCTGTTTCCAATCTGGATGTCTTTTCTTTTCCTTGACTAATTTCTCTGGCTAGGGCTTCCAGTACTACATTACACACAAGTGGCAAATGTGGGCATCCTTGTCTTATTTCTGTTCTTAAAGGGAAAGCTTTTAGTCTTTCACCATTATGATATTAGCTGTGGTGTTTTCATATTTGGCCTTTATTACATTAAAGTAGCTGCCTTCCGCTCCTAGTCTGTTTACTGTTTTTATCATGAAAGTGTGTTGAATGCCATCAAGTTCTTTTTCTGTACCAACTGAGATGGTCATGCAGTGTGAATTTTTTTTTCTGTTGGTGTATGTATTTTATTGATTTTCATGTGTTGAACTACCTTTGAAGTCCAGGAATAAATCCCTCTTTGCCATGGTTTGTCATCCTTTTAATGTGCTGTTAAATTCTGTTGGCTAGTCTTTGCTAAGGAGTTTTGCACAGTGTTCATCGGGAATACTGGTCTGTAGTTTTCTTGTACTGTCTTTCTCTGGTTTTGGCGTTAGGCTGATGCTGGCCTCACAATGAGCTAGGAGATGATCCCTCCCCTTTAATTTCTTGGAATCTGAGGAGGATTGGCTTTAATTGTTCAAATGTTTGGTAAAATTCACCAGTAGAACCGCCTGGTTCTAGGTTTTTCTTTGAGAAGGTTTTGATTATTAACTCAATCTTCTTACTGCCTATAGGTCCGTTCAGACTTCCTTTTTCTTCATGATTTAATCTTGGTTGGTTGTATGTTTCAAGGAAACTGTCCATTTTGTCTAGGTTATCAATTTGTTGTGCAATGATTCTTAGTACTCTTATAATCCTTTTTATTTCTGTAAAATCAGTAGTAGTATCTCCTCTTTAATATCTTATTTTAGTTATTTGAGTCTTCTTTCATTTTTTCTTCATTAGTCTCACTGAAAGTTTGTCAATTTTGTTAATCTTTTCAAACCAACTTTTGGTTTCAATGATTTTTATTTACTGTTTTTCCTATTCTCTATTTTGTTTATCTCTATAATGTCTTGTGTATATATGTAAGTAATTGTTGTATCTGCTTGGTAAATTTACCCTTTTATCATTACGTATGTCTTTTTTAGTCTCTTTTATAACAGTTTTTGACTTACAGTCTACTTTGTTTGATGTAAGTATAGCAAAACTTGGTCTCTTTTGTTTACTATTTGCATAAAATATCTTTTTCCATCTTTTCACATTCAAGCTATATGTGTCCTAAAGTGAGTTTCTTACAGACAGCATATGGTCAAATCTTATTTTTAAGCTATTCTGCCAACCTAAGTCTTTTGGAGAGTTTAATGCATTTACATTTTCAGTAATTATTGATAGAGATAGACTTACTATTGCCATTTTGATATCTGTTTTCTGTACGTTTTACAGCTTTCTTGTTCTTCATTCCTTCCCTTAATGCCTTCCTTTGTTGTGTTCAGTTGATTTTCTGTAGTGAGGTGTTTTGATTCTCTTCTCATTTCCTTTTCTGTATATTCTATAGATATTTTCATTATGGTTACCATGGGATTACATGTGATTTCCTAAAGTTATAGAAATGTTTTAAACTGAAATCAACTTTAATCACTTACAAAAACTCTACCCTTTTACAGCTCCACCCACCCCTCCATTACTGATGTCACACATACATCATTATATATTATGTACCTATTAACATATGAGTAATAATAATTTTTATAGTTTTGTCTTTTAAATTTTATGAGAATCAAAAATGGAATTACAAGGCAAAATTGCAATAAGGTACATTTTTATATTTGTTCATGTAATTTGCCTTTATTGAAGAAATTTATATTTTCATATTTGAGATATTGCCAATCTCTTTTCATTTCAATTTGAAGGATTTTTCTAGCAGTTCTTTTAGAATGAGTCTAGTGATAACAAACTCCTTCATCTTCTTAATCTAGAAATGACTTGATTTCTCTCTCATTTTTGAAGGACAGTACTGCCAGGTAAAGACTTCTCAGTTAAGTTTTTTTTTTCTACCAGTACTTTATATATAAAGCATCCCACCTCCTTCAGCTTACAGGGCTTCTGCAGAAATATTATCTGATAATCTTATTGAAGATAATTTCTATGTGACAAATCACTTCTTTTGCTGCTTTTGTGAATCAATTGTAATCTTTCTACAGCTGGATTATAATGTACCACGTTGGAGTGGGTCTCCAGATTTATCTAACTTTCTACTGGTTAAGCTTCTTATATTTATATATCCATGTCATCCCTCAAATTTGGGAAGTTTTGCCCATTATTTCTTCAAATACATTCTCTGCCCCTTTCTCTCTTTCCTTCGTCTTCTGGGACTCCCATAATGCTATTTATTTTCGCCTATTTGATGGTTTCCCCTAAGTCCCGTAGGCTCTGTTCACTTTTCTCAACTTATTATTCTGTTTGCTCAGGAGACTTGATAATTTCAAGAGACCAGTCTTCAAGTTTGCTGATTCTCTTCCCTGTTTTGATTCTGCCATCAAATACGTCTAGTGAATTTTTTAATTCAGTTACTGTGTTTTTCAGCTCCAGAATTTATTGTTTTAATCTCCACCTCTCTGCAGATATTCTTGTTTTGTTCATATATTGTTTTCCTTATTTCTTTTAGTTGTCTGTCCATGTGTTGCTTTAGCTCTCTGAGCACATTCAAGACAGTTATTTTACAGTCTTTGTCAAGATATTCTGAAGCCTCTATTTCTTTATGGTCACTTTCTGGAGACTTACTATGTTCATTTGAATTGTCCATGTTTCTTATTTCATTGTATGCTTTGTGATTTTTTTGTTGTTGTTGAAAATTGGGCATTTGAAGGGGAGGGATCAAGATGGTGACATATGGGGCTTCTGAAATTCCTTCCTCCCATAGATGCACGAAATTAACAACTACATATGGAGCACCTCCCTCAGAGAAATCCAAAATCTAGCTGAGCGACTCCTACACATCAAGCAAGTAAGAAAACACCCTCACTGAAACAGATAGGAAAGGCTAAAATACATGCTCACCATAAACCCCTGGCACAGTGCAATACAGTCAGGAGGGAACACCCCACTCCCAGATTCTCCCTGAGGAGCCAAGGGTTTTATATTTATATAGCTTGTATAAAGTTGAGACAATCTGTGGTCCCGACCAGTAACATCCAAAAATAATTTAAAAGGTGATTTAAATCTTCACTACAGGCTCCTGAACAATGCCAAATAAGGATCCCATTGACAGCACACAAAAAATCATCATAAATAAAATGTTCTCCAGTTGACACATCTACGTACTTTTTTACAACCCAACATACACACACACACACACACACACACACACCCAGCAGCTATGCCTCAATCTTCCTTCATTATCTCCAACTTTTCCAAAATCATCTTCTAAAAGCTTGCCTGTGACATCTGTCCTCTGTTGTCCCCCAGCCTTCACCCCTGCCTTCTCACCTACCTCTGAACCACCTTCCAGACCTATTTATTTCCCTCCAGGCCCAGGTCCATCAATCTACTAGATGGAACCAACTCATGGTCTTCCTATTTCCCATGGTATTTCAAGATGAAACAGGAGAACACATGTGAAATGGCCTTGTAAATTGGAAAATGCTAGTAAAAGTAACTTAGCATATATTAGATTTCATAGTTTTATAATGTATAAAGTTATTCATTCTAAGTTTCTTTGTTTTAAAAACCTACAAGGAAGAAAACATCATAACATTCAAAATTTGAAAGAAATATACTAGGAAAATGTTGTCCAAAAACATGTGAAGACCCCTATGATACTGCCAGGCTCCGGATCAAGGGCCATGTGTGGGTATCTTCAAGCCTGAGAGCTCTTCCCTAATATGTCCTGTTGGTGTAATCTAGGGAAGACGTGTATATTTCCAAAACCTCTGAAGTATTTTAATCAGAGCTTTGGTTTAGAGACCAAGAGAAAAGTTGTTTTTCTCTGGTCTCCTGTGAATGACTGAAACACTGAATTTAGGCAAATCTGCCCTAAAGGGAACCCAGTGTGGACATTGCATCTGTGTTTGTTTTTCTAAACATATCTTAACTCATCTAAACCTTGCACAAGTTGGAGGTAATTGTAATGATCCCTATTTTACTAAAGAAGAAACTAAGGCTCCAAGAGCTGAAACAGTTTTTCCAAGGACACAGGGCTCGTAACTGGCAGAACAGGAGTTTGAATTGAGGTCGACCTGGTTCTAAAGAGTATGGTTTTAACTTACCTTACATATGAGAGAGGATGAGTGGTCCCCTGTTCACTCCTGCCCTTTGTCCCTCTGACCTAGGAAGCACCATTATTCTGAGGAAGGCTTTTACAGCACAATGGAAAGAGCACTGCCCTGAGACTTTGTCAATAACTACAAATATCTCTAAGATCATAGGCATATCATATAGCCTCTTGGATTCTCAGCTTCCTCACCTGTAAAATAGATATAAGTTTGATGTACTAAACCATATACCTTATATGGTAAGTGTATGGGTATTACATAAGTTTGTGGTATTAAATTATTGAACAGGTTTAGCTAAAATGCTCTTAACACCGGAAAATTATACCACTTTAGAAATAAAAATAGCCTCATTTTTTGCTTGTTAGGTAAATAATAAAAGCTTTTATCTTTAAAAAATGC